CCGCCGCGTGAGCTGCCGGCGCGGCGTCGGGCGGCATCGCCCGCACGGTGGCGGAGCGCTCGAAGGCCTGCAGCACAGCGTCCGCCTGCGTCTCGCGGCCACGCGCGCGCAGCCAGCGCGGCGACTCCGGCAAAGCGAGAAACGACAGCGCCGACACCAGCGCGCAGGCACTGCCCACGAGGAAGCCCCAGCGCCAGCCTTCGAGCCCGAGCGGCTGCAGCGGGGCCAGCCAGCGCACCATGAAGATGGCCGCCGGCGGCCCGAGCAACGACGGCGTCAGGCTCAGGAAGATCAGCGTGCCGCGCCGCTGCGGCGGGAGCAGGTCGGTGAGGTAGGCGATGACGATGGGCGGGTAGCCGCCGAGCGCGAGACCGGCGAGGAAGCGGCACAACGTCAGCTCGCCCACGCCGTTGGCCATCGCGGCGCCCAGCGACGCGAGCGCGATCCACAGCATCAGCGCCACCAGCGCCACGCGTCGCCCCTGCCGGTCGGCCCACCAGCCCAGCAGCGGCGCTCCGAGCACCGCCCCCACGAACACTGCGGCCAGCAGCAGGCCCAGCTCGCCGGGTGACACCGGCGGGGACTGCGCCGAGAACACCGTGCCGAGCACGCCGCCGAACGCCATTTCGAGGGTATCGATCGTCATGCCGATGCCGCACGTCAGCATCGCAATGACGTGCAGCCGCGTCACCGGCAGGCGGTCCATGCGTTCGGCGAAATCGGAGGTCGGCAACGGGGTCATGTCGCAAGGAGGGTTGGCGAGTGGATGGCGCCCCGCACCATATGCATTGCGCGCCTGCGAGACGGCCGCCAACCGCAGGATTCACGCAAATTCACGCCCGACCCCACGCCACGGTGCGACCATCGACACCATGAAGACGCCGGGTGCGGCGCTCGGGTGGCACGGCCTTGCAGGCCGCGTGATCCGGTCAATGCCGCACCAGATCGCTTCGTGCACCGGGGTGCTTGAGCGTCGGATGCCGAGCAACTCATTCCACAGGTCATGAGCGAGACCGAATCCCTCGCCTTCGGGCCCTTCGTGCTGACAGGTGCGCCGCTCGCCCTGCGTGCCGGCACCCGCACCGTCGATCTGGACGCGCACGCCATCGCGCTGCTGGCCGCCATCGCGG